CTTTATAAAATCTCCTCATCTCATCTTGTTTCTTTTTAGACTTCACATAAGCATGGAAGAAACTATTATTTCCATCTCCCTGTCTTAGCCAATTTATTTTAGCCCTTTGATTCATAATTCGTTCTTCAGTTTCACTATACTTGGTCACTACCTCATAACACTTTTTCACTGCCATAATACATTGAGTATTCATTCTATCCTGTAAAATCTTCTTTTGGGCCTCCAATAAATCCTCTCTAGCTTTCCTGAGATCATTGTGAATACCAAGAAGGTGATTGCTCATATGGGTGATAAAAGGCTTCAACCTTTAGAGTTTCTCCCATAATCTCACCATGGGGCTCCCATTAATAGGCTCCTGCCAGTTCTTTGCAACCCCTGAGCCATATCCTTCCAGATTCACCACATTATTCATGAACTTAAAGGTGTGCTTCCTTGTGTACTTCTGATGTTGGTCAGGTTCCAAATAGAGTAAGGCATGATCAGATATGTCAGGTGGCATAAAGTGCAAAGTAGTAGACATATGCATTTGAAACCATTCCACATTGGCTAATACCATGTCAATCCTTGAGTAGATGACTCCACCAACATGTTTATTAGACCAGGAGTAGTTATCCCCTACATTATCCATCTCAGCCAGACCTATTTTCTTCATCATATCAACCAAATCCACATACTCCTTTTCAATTACCATACTACCCCCTATCTTGTCACTAGCCTTCACCACATTGTTGAAATCCTCCATCAAACACCAAGGCCCTTGTTGACTATTGTGGATCTGAGTAATATCCCTCCACAGACTCTTCCTATGTTCCAGTTTATTCATTGCATAAATGGCAGAAAACCAGTGTAAAAACTTGCCATTTATATCATAAATCCCTTCATGAATCATTTGCATAGTACTTTTAATATGTCTAAATTCAACTCTATTGTTACCCCATAAAAGCCACAAGCTACCATTATTGTGCTCAGTATTATTGGGCTAGAGATTTTGAATGATCCTTTAGTTAGTCTCAAAATTGTTTCATGATTGTATCTTGGAACATGAGAGGGTTGAATAAGATAGTGAAGACTAAAGAGGTGAGCTCTCGTAGTGCTTAATGAATTTTTAATAAAGGATTTTACTTATAAAAAATAATTTTGTTAGTTATGAGACCAATCCAAAAGCTTTGTTAATTTTATTGTCAGTAAAAACTATTTTGTAATTTTATTTTTTGAATGTGTATATTTAATATTTTGAAATAATTTTTTTTATTTACATGAATTATTTATATATATAGATTGTTTTAGTTTTAATAGAGAATTGAATAATTGAAATAAAATTTATAATTTTAAAAATTATTTTATAAGTTAAAGATATTTTAAATTGAAAAGAATTATGTTGTTTAAATTTTAAAAGAATTTTACAGCAAATAAATTGATTGAAATAGACAAATGGTGTGTAACGGCTAATTAGTTAAAATTTTAAAAGTATTTACAATAAATAAATTGATTGGAATAGACAAATAGTGTGTAATGAATTTTTAATAAAGAATTTTATTTATAAAAAATAATTTTGTTACTTATGAGACCAATCTAAAAAATTTGTTAATTTTATTGTCAGTGAAAACTATTTTGTAATTTTATTTTTTGATTGTGTATATTTAATATTTTGAAATAAATTTTTTACTTAGATGAACTATTTATATATAGATTATTTTAGTTTTATTAGAAAAATAAATAATAGAAATAAAATTTAATTTAGAAAAAGATATTTTAAATTGAAAAGAATTGTGTTGTTTAAATTTTAAATGAATTTTACAATAAAAAAATTATTCAAATAAACAAATAGCATTTAATAAATTTTTAAGAAAATATTTCAATTTTGTAAATTTTTAATAAAAGATTTAACTTGTACCAGTTATACTTTTTTGTGATGTTTAATTAGTTAAAATTTTAAAAGTATTTTTAAATAAATTGCTTAATGAATTTTTAATTGCATTTAGCGGTTAATTAGTTAAATTTTAAAAGTATTTTACTATAAATAAACTGATTGGAATAGACAAATAGTACTTAATAAATTTTTAATAAAGCATTTTACTCGTAAAAGATAATTTTATTAGTTATGAGACCAGTCCAAATTTTTTGTTAATTTTATTGTCAGTGAAAACTATTTTGTAATTTTTTTTTTGAATGTCTATATTTAATATTTTGAAATAATTTTTTTTTATTTACATGAACTATTTATATGTAGATTATTTTAGTTTTATTAGAGAAAGAAGTAATAGAAATAAAATTTATAATTTTGAAAATTATTTTATAAGTTAAAGATATTTTAAATTGAAAATAATTATATTGTTTAAATTTTAAAAGAATTTTTAAAATTTGGTAGAAATATGAAAGTTATAGAAATGAAAAGTTATAGAATTAATGTATTATAAAGTATTATGAGTTATAGATATGTAACAGTTATAGAGATTATTATTTTTTAACATTTTAAAGTAAAAGTTATTAAAATGAGAATTAAATATTTCATTAAAAAATACTAAAAAATACAAAATTTAAAATTAGGGTACATTCAAAAAATAATAAGTTAGTTAAATATAAAATTAAAACATATATATTTGAGATTTAAATTAAAAGATATATATCTTTTAAACTTATTTTATTGTATGTTGTCTCAAAATATTATGAGTTATAGAATTGTAAAAGTTAAAGAAATTAAATTTTTTTAAAGATTAGAAATTGATAAAGTATTTGAGGAGTAAATGTAGATATGTTACATGAGACATTTGCTTTAAAGATGTTAATGATTAGAAAATAATAAAGTAAGTTGTTTGAGAGATTGTCAAGTCAAACTTTAATGATGTATCATTTATTTTGAGATTCTGCTTTAATATGTATAATAAATTGTATACTCTGCCTTCATTAAGCTTAAATCTCATAGGATAAGAATTTATTGGAAAAAAACGACATTGAGAAAATAATATATATATATATATATATATATATATATATATATATATATATATATATATATATATATATATATATATATATATATATATATATATATATATATATATATATATATATATATATATATATATATATATATATATATATATATATATATATATATATATATATATATATATATATATATATATATATATATATATATATATATATATAACACAAAGATATAAACTACTCTCATACACTTTCACAGCCTTCACTGCACACATAATCTTTGAAGAAAACACCTAAGTGCATCTCACACTTTAATACAAAACTATATGAGAAATAAAAAGTTATATACAATTTGTGTTTTTGACCGATGTATCATGTTACAAAGAATTAAAGTATATTATATGTGACATTTTTCAACAAGTATCTTTTCAAGCAACACTAACAACATACTAGATTGTTGAGTATATTGTAATTCTCGACTTCCTCAAACTCCTCAATAGAATTCCACTTGAAACATTACTAGAAAGAAAATAAAAATAACCAATATATCTAGGGTCTCATAGATTGTCGTATAAAAAAGACCTATTATTTTTTTTAGATGAAGGAATATTTTAAATTTATACTCTTTAATATTAATATATATGTACAAACTTTATTTTTTTATAGAATAAGCCAAAATTTTAAACTTACATTATCAATTCGTTCCACTTCATTCTATTTTTTTTCCAGACTTTTATATGTCAACAAATTCGTTTGCCACCCATATATACCACTCATTTAAAACTTTAAAAATCAATATCACCAATCTCATAATATATCTCAAAAAGTTTTAAAATTATTGATTAAAAAAGAAAAAGAAAAACTATGGTGACATATAAACTAAACTTTACTTATGTGACATTTAAAAAATTAAATCAGTTGTGACGGATGTGGCATAAAAAAATTAAGTGAATGTTGTGACAAACAAAAAACATTAAGCAATACAAAAAATAATGACATATCATGATGCGAAATAAATAAAAAATAGAAATGTTTTTTATAATATTCAATTACTTTGTGATGTTTTTTTTTTTAATTAATTTTTCTTTTTCAAATACAAAAGTATATTAATCTTTGTTTTATGGAGGTGTTGCTTGTACCTTGGACTTCTTCCCGTTATTGAAGTCGAAGCCTTAGCTCTCAAAGAGTCAATTCTTGAAGCTATATTGTCACATTTGGAGTTTGTTATTTTTGAAAGTGACTCTTAAAGAGTAATTCAAGTTAGGGGTGGCAAACGGGCATGTCCGTCCCGTTTAGATCTACCCCGCAAAAGTCCGCAAAAAAATGGAACGGGACCGGACGGACATTGTTAAGGATGCGGGCCTAAAATTTATTTCTGCCCCGTAAAAAAATGAGGGCAGGGCAGAAAAAGCCCGCGGACACCGCACCTTTTAAGCCTAAAAACACAAAATTTATATAAATGCATGTATCCGCAAAAACCCACGTATAAAACAGGACAGGATGGGACACACACATTAGAGGATGAAGACCTAAACTTTTGGCCTGCCCCGCACTAAAGTGCAGGCAAAACGGGCCTAATCAATAGACCGGACCCGTTTTACCACTCTCAATTCATGCTATACATTTGAAAAAACTAACGATTTTCCACTAAGTGTAGACACAGAAGGGGAAGAGCTTGATAAGAAAGGAAAGGCACACAAAAAAACAAAGGAAGCTTCCTTCATATAGTGACTCACACACAACAGACAATAGCAAAACATATATACTCTCATGCATTCTAATGAAACACCCATTCTCGTATTATCTCCTACATTTTGTTTTGGGGCTCATTAATGTCTTTCTCTGGTACTTTTTTTTCTCACTCGCTTCACCATTATATATTCATAACAAAATGGTTTCTTTTTTTGGCATGTTATGTCAAATCTTTAACTGGGTTTGTTTATTTTTTCTTTTTACGGTAATGTTTCAGTTGCAACCTTTGACACTTGGAAGCATACTTAAGGTGTTACTTGAACTGGATTTAAAGTCACTGTTGTTTATAGCTTGAAACTATGTCTGCTTATGCACATCAAATGGAGCAGCAGCACTCTGGAGTTAGTCTTTCAGACAATTCCGGTATGCCATGACGGTTCACGGTTTAATCCGTCTAGTTAGGTTTTTAAAACACTGCTATTAATAGCACCTTCAAGTAGTAACTTTTTTTCTTTTTGTCTTCACAGATACATCAAGCCATTATGGTCTAGATTCAGGATTCTACATGTCATCTTTTACAGCAACAATTTTCGTTGTTTCGCTTGTCACTCTTGGAGTTTTACTTATTACTTTGCTGGTTTCTTTGGTGATTATGCTGCAATCATGTCAAAGTAAAAGTACTGGAGTTATTGAACTTGTGAATATGAATGATTACTACAGTTATTGCAGGGTGTATTCTCTGCATGCTGAGATCAATAGGTTAGAGAGATATGATCTTCCAAACATATGTAGAGATCTGACTATACATTATATCAAAGGAGGGCATTATGCCAAAGAGTTGAATTTAATTGTGTCTATGATCGATGATTACTTCAAGAATCTGAGACCTTCAGACAATGGTTTGGATGTGGTGTTGTTGGATATAGATGATATTGTTCCTCCAAATTCGTATCAGAGGTGATAACATATTAGTGACTTGTTGCACTAACTTGCATAATTCTGGCTACTTCATAGCATTATTTGTAGTTCCACCAACTTGATGGCATTCTTCGTTATTTTGGTGCAGGTTTCATAGGGACGGCATTAGCAATTGTGTCAAAGAGGCAAAACATGTAAACCTCATGTTTGTTTTAAGATTATACATGAACCTTCAAACTGATGGGTGGCCTATAATTTTGGTATCAAGAGAACCTGAAATGTACCAAAATGTCACCATTAATCATCTTGTTTCTGCAGGATTTAGAGGTTGGTCTTCCTTGATGATGAGGTATAGTGACTATCTTCCTTTTATATCTCTAATTGCTTTAGACTTGCTTACAAACTTAGATTTAGCTTTACCAAAAGCATGATCCAATAACTGAATCTTATGATCTTATATTGTCAATGATCTGCACTTTTCCAGAACAGAAGATTCAGAGTCTACTAAAGGAAATGAGTACTTTTCTAGGCAAAGAAGTGTGATACAGAAGAAGGGCTTTCATATAAAAAGTATTGTAAGTAGCCATTTGGATGTGTTGGCTGCTCCAGATACTCGAATACTAAATTTTCTGCTGCCGGGCCTTGTATGCACCAAGTTTGAACATCATATAGAGAGCATAGATACTGGAAATTAGTTTTGCAGTTCACTGTCCATCAAACAGGAAGACACAAGACAGAATTACTATTAGAACTTACATAGGTTCTTTTTATTATAAACTAGATTTGTTTTTGTAACATAATTACTACAAGCAATTCAATATGTACTTGAGGGATGAGCGTGATTCTCCAACCTAGAGGTGCCTTTAGATTTTACTATGTAGTTATGCAACTGTGTGAGATACAATGTTATCAAATATCTTGTTAGGAAACAAAGATGAAAGTCAAGAACATGGAACTTCAATTTGGAATATCGAAAATGAAACTTCAAAGGTCCAAAAGTGTTTGGGGAGTCAATCAGTTGCTCCGGCATGATTTTCTCATTAAGATACGTTTGGTTAGCCGTCTCGTTAAGTTGATTTCCACTTTTGGCAACAACAACGCAGCAAAACATGGAAAGAGAAAATAAGGACTCTGCATAATTTGATTATGACATAATCAGATTGTAGATAAGTACTGTATCTGACAGTTAAAACCTTGTACAAACTCTAAAGTAGCCACAAACACAATAAAACAATGTTAAAATATTAAGACTTGAGAGGATTGCAAAACAAGGGAAGGGGAGATAAAATCCACTAAATACATTTCTAAGCTTTCAAGTAAAAGCTTACCACAATATCATCATCGTGGAAGGAGCAGACCAGAACTTAAACACTTGACTATATACAGCACTACTAAATATTATTATGAAAACAATTAAAAGGAAAAAAAAAAAAACAAGAATGATGACGATGATGATGATTGACAGAAAATCTAGAGTGAAGACCGACCAACCGACTGAAGTCGCTGCAACCATGAGATTCTCAGATTAGGCTTTTTCAATTGGAGAAAAATTTCCCTATGTTCCTGCCTAAGGAACACGTCTAGAGCAAACAAATACAGGTCACTTCCTTGCTCTACATCTTCCATTCCATCAAGACATTCAATGCATTCACCAATACTATAACTACGTTTGCCTTCAGCGGACGAAATTGTGAAGGTATTCTTTTGAATACTTACACCATTCCTTGATGCAACAGCATCACAAAGATATTCAGTCTTCTCATCTGAGCTGGTTACATCAGGTCCTTTTGTGTGTGATGGCAAAGTATTAACGCTGTCATCACTTTTCTTCTGTTGCACAGCAGGTTCAGTCTCCCCTGTAACAGTAGTACCATTAAAGATGGTTTCCAATGCGTCGGGGAATTGTAGTTCTTTATAGCGAAATTGGGAAGCTTCTGGGTTTGCCTATAACATATGAGCAGCGGAGGGGAATCAGGAATCTTATTAAGGTTTGCAAACTTTCAAATGAATACACTTGTAAGTACATTTGGTAATTTAACATACCTGTAAATAGCAAGTCCAATCTTCGTCACTGGCCTCAAAGGTATGCTTAGACAGATTCCATTTCATGTAACTAGTGGAAACAAGCTTAGACCAAGTTCTCCATTGTTCCTTTGTAGAATCCCAGTGATTCTTAAACTGTAATCTGCCATAATTCAAACCAGATTTCAGATGAAATGAATCCATAATATTCCTCCAACCTTCCTTAGTAAAATGTGTCCCAGGCTTATTTCCATTTAATGTCTCCTGCAGACATAGATCAATAAAGGTCTTATGCAATGAAGGGGTCCATGTGGCTTTGACCTTATGATGTGATGAACGCGAAATGCTTTGCTCACTTGCAATTGCACTGATTGGTGTAGCATTAACCAAAATAGCACTCTTAAAGTCAAAATCCTTTTCAACACTCTTATATTTCTTCCCTCGCTTTCCATATAAAGGAGTTGGTGTTCCTGAATCATCTTTATGTCTCTCACTACTAGATGATGGTTGCATTTCCCCGGTTTGTATACTGTCGCCGCCATAGATGATGTCCAATTTCTCTGGAAACAGGATTTCCTTAAAGCGGAATTGTGCAGCTTCTGGATTTTCCTGTGACAAAATGACTAATTATTATCAGTCTCAAACCATGAAGAGAATCTCCCAATAAATTGAATGAACATACCTTCTTACCTTAAGATAATCGATCCACTCTTTCTCTGAAGCACCAAACTTAGTGGTTTCTGGGTCCCATTTCATGATATCGTCACCAATCAATTTAACCCAGATTTTCCATTGTTTTCTGGTCGAGTCATAGTGATTCTTAATTTGTCTTTTGTCATATCTCACACCTGTCTTTGAATAAAAGTATCCCATAATATTCCTCCAACCCACCTTGGTAAAATGTGACCCAGCTTTGTTCCCCTTCAAAGTTTCATCAAGACATAAATCCACAAAGATTTTATGGTATGCAGGTGTCCAATTGGCTTTTGGAGTTAGCGTCGAATTAACAATAGCAGAAGTATTTAATTCATAATTCCTAACAACACACTTACGCTTCCTCCCACGCCCTTTTCCGTGCAAAGATGTGGCTCTAGCATTATCCTGCCACTTAAGACGTATCGAATTTCGAATTTCCTCAGGAGGCATTTCTGCATCAAAGATAATATCCAGTTCATCTTTAAACAGGATTTCCTTAGACTGAAACTGGGCAGCTTCTGGATTTTCCTGCAAAAAATAACAAGGCTTCATAATTTTTTATCCCGAACCATGAAGATCTCCTATCATCTTGTATGAACATTAATAACTATCATCAGGGCCATCTTTGAGTGTGTGCAAAGCAGGCTACCGCACAGGGTCCAAAGTTTGTCTCAGTTAAACCATGACTAAATAGGGCCTCCTAAAATACTGTCACGGTTAAATTGTGGTTAAATAGGACCTCTATTTATTTTGTCATGGTTAAACTGCGACTAACCTATACATGGCCTCCAAAAACATGAGACGACTCTGATTACCATACATACCTTTATATAATCGCACCAGTCTTCCTCAGAAGCATCAAACTTACAAGTTTCCGAATCCCATTTCATGCTACTATCATGAGTCAACTTATCCCAAATCTTCCATAATTTCCTGGTGGAATCATAGTGATTCTTAAACTGCTTCTTGTCATACGTCACGCCAGTCTTTTCATAAAAGGATTCAACGATGCTGCACCAAGTCTCCTTGGTAAGCCGCGCCCCAGGCTCGTTCATCTTCAAGACTTCTCGCAGACATAACCCGACAAATACTTTATGGAATGCAGGGTTCCAGGTGGCTTTTGCAGGTGAAGTAGACATCCTTGACCTTACACGACGAAAATATCCTGCCAAACATTTAGGAGTTTCAATAACCTACAATTCTACATACAAAAAATGTATGCATAGTGTCATAAAACCTATGGTTTAAAGGCATGCACGTGCAATTTCTGAAGATAACATAAATTTGAGACAAAAGAAAATTTCAGTGCAGATTAATGAAAGAAATTGAATTAGTACTAACTATGATTGACATTACTTATGTAGAATACAGTGCAGAAATATTTTGGGGGAAAATATGAAAATGAAATTGGAAAATGATTTACAAGTAGTGAGAGCGAATATACCTGAGCTTCAAGGACAATGCTGCATTTGAGATGAAATGTAAATTTTGTGCGTTCTTGTAACTCCTGCTAGAGAAACTCCAAATGATTACTCTCGTTACTTTTGGGAAACCCTTCTCATAAATGTTGATTTTGTTTTCGTCTTTTCGTTGTCGAAGAAATCAAAATCAGGCCCATAACTAGCACATTTACGATCAGGGAATAGACTATTTCTCCTACACCTGCTCAATTTAACCTTGCACCCCCCTAAACACATGCTTTTGTCATAATACCCTACGTCCCAAAAAAACCAATTCAACATTTTATTTGTCATTTTTCGAACATTTTATAAAATTGTGATGCACACCGGATTTTTTGAGTTATATATCGAATATTTACAAGTAATTTTTTCGTTTGAATTATTTTTTTTATTGGTAATTTAAGATTCATACCGTATTTTAAAGAAAATTCATGCATTTGTACATACATTTTCAAAATATTTGATAAAATCTCATATTTTACATGCATTTATATCGAAAATTTTGAAAAAAATATGATAAGTAACATGCATTTTTACTAGGATTTTTTAAATGTATGGTAAAATAGATACATGTGTATAGGATATCTAAACAATTATGATAAATGAGTATTTGATTATCAGATTTTTCAAAAAATTTGTTAAAACCGTGTTATTTTTTTCCAGATTTTTATAAAATCTAGTAGTTTATATATATTTTTTATTTTACTGTAGTGAGGATCAGAGGAACAGACAACGTGATTGCTTCTAGAAGGACTGATATACTAAAGAAAACAGTTGCAAAGAGCTCTCATGTAGGCGCATATAACAAAGAAGATTCGCATATCCTTGTGGATGGAGTAGTCCTCATCGGTTCTCACAAGAGGAGGATTGAGCAGCCACGCACACTTTGTACTCTCCAGCATAAAGTTGGACGAGGCAGACATCTTGATGTAGAGTCTAATGTTGCTATTATTTTCGATGTAGAGTTAGCAGCTCATGGGGATATAGAGACTCAAGTTAAGGCTCAGGATGACAGAGATGTGGTGGCTCATGATGATATGGAGTCGTCTATACACACAGATGAGGGGTTCCCGAGAAGGTCCAATGGTCATACTTTGCTCACCATGTATGTCGGTCATGTGGCATTTAGACTATGGCATGGAGAGGTATAAATATTTTATTTTAAGTTTTTATTTATTTATTATGGATTAATTGAAAATAATTGTTGTTTTATACTTTCATTGTTACAATACCACACCCAATTAAAGGTGCCCACCCTTGGGGCGAATTTGAAGAAAGTCTCAAATGTCTAGATGCTTGATGAGGTCAGACAGATTGTCGTTGATGTCAATCTACTTTCTTTGGTGGACTATTCGCTGATCATGCTCGACAATTCACTATTGTCTGATTTTGTTGAGTTTTGACTTGAGGAGGCATCATAATTTCATCTTCCATTTGGTAAGATGATGATTGCCATGGATGATGTCTCATGCCTCTTCCATCTCCCCCTTGCATGTAACTTTTTTGACACTCTTCTCATTATTCAGAAGCTTGCATGTATTATGGATGAGCAGTACTTGGAGGTTACTATGGACATGGTTCTGGAGGAGTTCAAGGCTAACATGGGTTCTCATTTTGTCTCTCTTGGATCTGGGATACATATCAGACACTGATGGAATACTCTATATATGAGGCGGTCGTTAGGGTATACATATTGCATCTTTTATTATGTATTATCCTAGTGGATAAGTCTCCTGTCAACATCAATGAGAGATACATTTCTCTATTTTTTAGCCTGAGTGTGTTGATTGGGCATGGGGGGTATTGCTTTGACGGTACTATATATTGCATTTGTATAGGTGACTATCTTTAAGATGAGTCATCATGCCGGCTATATGAGTCTATTCCAGGTTTGAATATTTATTATGTTTAATTTATTTAGTTTTTATTTGTCAAAGACATTTTGTATTGTAATTTCTTCTTCCTGCGTAGTGTTGGATATACGGGTTGTAACACCCCAATTTTATTTATTAGTTATTTTATTATTTATTTATTTTATTAATTATTATATAATATAGTAATTAATTAATTGTGTGATTTTGTGAATATATGTGTTATATATGGATTGGATTATTGGGTGTGAGAATAACAAAATGAATAATTGGGCCTTGTGTCTTACATTAGTGTAAGTGTGTGAGATAAGTCCATTAGAGTAAAATAATAGTTAGTATGAATTTTGTAAAATAAAGAGAAAATAGACCTAGAGATAGAAGTTGTCAAAACAAGAGAAGAGAAGAAAGAGAAGAAAAGGGAGAAAAGATAAGAGAGAAGAACTCTAGAAGGGTCTACATCCAAGGTAAGAGTGGCTTTTCATTTGATTATGGGAGTATGTGATGTATGTAATAGATAAAAAATATGATTAGGAAGTTATATTTCAATTTCTAAGTTTTTGACATGCTTAGGTTTTGAATGAGAATCCATGAAATTGTTGTTTGAATCATATTTTGATGTTTGTAATTTATGCTACATGATAGGTATATGTTATAATGCATTTAATTCATGAAACATGACTGTTTAGATGGGTTTTATAGGCTGAACTTGAGTGACCCCGAGACTGCTATCACATGGTTTTTCGCAGAAATTACAGAGCACGCTTAGTGCAGATTTTCGTGCTTAGCAGGCGCGCTACTAACTTGAGGGCGCTTAGCGCCAAAGAGCACGCTTAGCGCGATATGTAATATGAATTTTAATATTTTATTTAATTGATAGGAAATCTTGTATGCTTATGATTTATAGAGGATTACTATGAATTTTAATAATTTATTAAATGTGTATTGGATAGGTTTTGGATGACTTTTTGATGAAAACATAACACTTGAATTATGTGTATATGTTTGTTGATAATTGATGTTGAATGTGAATAACATTGTTTGGTATTGTTTATTATATGTTATTATGGTATGTTGAGTTGGTTAATGCTATGAGAATGCATTATATGTGAATGATGACATGAAATATGTATGTTATGCAATGGTGAGTGTTGTACCCTAAAATTTTCTCTCTCATTTCTCAAAGATTCTCTCACAAGATCTTCTATGACGTCAAGTTTGCAGCACTCATACATCAATTTAGGCTTGGAATTGGCAGAAGGGCAAAATGGTCAATTGCATATTAGAAAGTCAAACTTTGACTTTTTGGTCAACATTATATTCCAAAGATCAAATTTCATCAAGATATTCAAGAATATCAAGCTTGATCATCAAGAAGTCAAGAAAGTCAAAAGTCAACTTGAAAAGTCAAGATTTCCAAGACTTAGAAATTTTCTAAGTGTTTTATACATGATGATTTCATCACTTCATGCCATTTTTTCACCAAGATGCAAGACAGTTCAAGAGAAACTTTTAACATGAAAGTTGTAGATCTCCATGATACCTACAACATTTCTTTACACGAGTTCTCCTAGAAGTGCTTGGATTTTTAGTTATAAATTCATGAAGTCATGACATTTTCATTTAACACTTAGAGAAATTTTCAACAGATTTTGGTCAGGATTTCACCCCAACTTCTTGGCATTTTTTCACATAGTTCCAAGATGACTTTGTCAAAATGGCCAACATAAAAGTTATAGAGGATGCTTCAAGCTTTCTAAAACATCCAAGAGAATAAATTTATCATACTTGAGCTAGGAGATTCAAGGGCTTGAAGTTGGGCATCCAACCTTGAATTGCAAGTCACTCTATTGAAGAACACATAACAAAACCCTTATGCTATGCTGCATAATCTTATGTTGCACACCTTCTTGCTTGCAAATCTCTACATAATTTAATGTTTACACAAGAGCTTGAGCTATTACCCAAGTGTTTGAGCCATTGTCCAAAATATCTTTCCATTTATGGCATAAAGGCACCATTGTTATTCTTGAAAAGCAAACTTTTTGTACAAAGTTTGTCTTGAGCCCATACCTTGCTTGTTGTTGATTATACTCCACTATAAATCATGAGAAGCAGCTTCTCTATACCAACAACTTTGGTACTTCACCTTGGGACTATGGAGTACTTGACATAGTTTGATTTTTGTAATCCAACCAAACTATAACATGTTGTCTTGCAAACTTAGTCAGCTCATATGCACAAACCTCTTGCCTATAAATAGAAGAAGCATTTGCAAGACAAAGAGGTTAGAAAAAATAGAAAGAAAACCAGAATTTTTGTTGACAAACTCTCAAAAAATCTCATAACTGAAAAAGGTCATAACAGTCCACAAGGCAACACCTCAAGCTCAAAACATAAATTCTAGCTGCAAGGTAAGTCTCCTTAACTTTAAAACTCTTCATTTCAATCATCATCATTTGGTTCATTTTTTAGGCTAAAATGCAGTGACCTTTGAATAAAAGGTTTGTAAAAAATCATGAACAATTTCCAAGTTTGAGTGAAAAGTTTTCCATGAAATAGTATCATGAACATGCAGGTGTAAGGTTGCTGTTTTTCAAAACCATACAGCAGGAAATTGATTGCACCCTTCATGCAAATCGATTGCACGGGGTTTCAGTAGCCAGATTTCCAAATATTTTGAGTATGAAATCGATTGCACAACCATGCAAATCGATTGCACGGGGTTCCAGTTGCCATATTTCCAAATATTTTGAGTGTGTAATCGATTGCACAACCATACAAATCGATTGCACTGGAAGTCAGTAGCCA